ACACCTACCACCTACTAACTAACGTTACGTTAGTAGTACGTTACCGGTACCGGGTACGGTACGTACTACTACCGTACGGTACGTAGTAGTCGGTCCGGTACCCGGGTACCGGTACGTACGTAGTGGTAGTAGTATATATATATATATATATATATATATATATATATATATACATATACATATATATATATATATATATATGTACGCATGTGTACAGCTAAATGAGCGAATCCGAATACGCATACGAATATATCCTTTGTCCAGCACTGCAACCTTCCTTCATATCCAGATCAGCATTGGCCTTGCGCATTGTGCAAATGTCTACATACGTACATATACACACAAATACACGTATACCTTGTGCAATCGCCTAAATACATTCAACAAACACCTGCACGACATATTTTATACCCATGCATGTGTGCAGCAAAATGTACGAATATATGAATTTATGTATACCTTTTGTCCAGCACTGCAGCGCCCCTTCATGTCCAGATCAGCGGTGCCTTTGCGCATCACCACCCGGTAGTTGTACGTACGTCGAGCGGCGCTCACTGACCCATCGGATTCGGAGTTAATCTCGATCGTATCAATATCTATTTATAGAATTGTATTGATATCAGTATATACAGGAAAGTCTCGTGCGCAGACTTAACCTCGAACATATCAATATCTATTTATATAACTGTATTAGTATCAGTATATACAGTTAAATTCTCGTGTGCTGACTTAGCCTCGAACGTATCGATATCTATTTATATATAACTGCATTCGTATCAGTATATAAAGTTAAATTCTCGTGTGCAGGCTTAATCTCGATCGTGTCGATATCTATTCATAACATTGCACTAATACCAGCGTATTGAGATCGTGTACAATTGTTTTCGATCGTACCGATATCTATTTATAGCATGCTAGTAAGCTACGGTATATATGCGTAAAAGACACGATCCCATTTTAAGTTTCACTTACAAGCAGACGTACATAAGCATTCATATCTAGCCACAGAAAAGGTGTGAATTTTTCGGCATTACTATTGGTGATCTGTTAAATGTGGATCGATATTCTGCATAAACCTCCGCACACAAGTTTATTTATGTTCGTTAGATATTCGGTTAACTGTTCGTTCACATAAATAAATCTAAACAAGAACATACATATGACGATACAAAACACAAAACGAAACCGACCCATGCAAAGCACATATACAAATATACATACCTGTGCCGGTATAGGTGGATGTCCATAGCTCAGCAATGACTTTGTTGATCTCCTTCATTTTCAATCGGTGGTATTGCATGATGGCGTCGTCAAACAGCTTGTAATACTCACCCAATTCCTTTTCCACTGCGGTCAGTGACTGTACAGGGTATTAGTTTTTAATTTTAACGTATTACAATGTGAATAAGGAAGGTAATTATAACAGCGTGTTGTAGAATTTACATGCTTTAATAGCCCAACTCAAGTCCCACTGCGGTCCAGGACGACACAGAGTAAAGATTTTAACGTAATACAACGTGAATAAGGTAATTATAACGGCACGAATTTATATGATGTATTAGTCCAATGCCTGGTTCACTGTGGATGATGAACGTACAGAGTAATAATTGTAACGTATTACAATGTGAATATGATAAGTATAGCAACATGTTGGTGAATTTACATGCTCTATTAGCCCATCTATAGCTCCGGTTCCCTTGCGGTCAGGGAGTTTAGTATTTAATGTGTTATAATGTAAATAAGACAAAAATAATAGAACGTTGGTACCGAGTCATGGTTGTAGGAAGTCACGTTCTCAACGTGTGCAGAACAGAAAATCTAGGCAATTGGTGGACAAACCAATGTATTTATCGCATACAGGACAGAACCACATGTCGATACGCTACATGATTACAATAAAACTCCCATGGCATTTATGGTATACAGAACAAACTCAATAGTTGGTATGCTACCTACCTCCATAGTGGCTTTCTCGTTTATGCAGCGCTTATCAATGTCGCGGTAAAGTTCTGCGTTCAACATATTGTCAGTGCCCCGGATCGAGTTCCGGATTTCCTCCAAGACTCCGTCCAGCCGTTGAGCCTGTACAGTACATGATTGGGAAACATTAAGATATAATTGCTCAAATCAGAATGGGATGGGAGTAGGTTTATTGAAAAGTTAAAGGGTGGGGGGGGGGGGGGGTGGGATTAGAATATTCAGGTACAAAATTTCAAATTCAACATGCTTCGAATATATGTACACAACAAAAGTTCACACCAGCATGCTCCGCATAGCCCGTATAAATTAGTGGAATCAGAGGTAATAGGAGTACAATGTTAAATCAGATATGCTAGTGATGACATGTACAGGAAAGTAGTAGAGATTAGAGTATGTCTGAGTACAAGTTTACACCAACATATTACGCATTACCTGAATAGATAAGTGTAATCAGCGTATAGGTGTACAATATTGAATCAGTTATGCTACGGATGTAGTTGTATAGGCAGTAAAAGATAGTACGTCTGAGTAAAGGATTACGCGAACATACTACGTAATACTTGCATAGACAAGTAAGATTAGCGTGCATAGGTGTACAGTATTAAATCAGGTATGCTAAGAATGAGGGTTTATTATAAAGTAGGAAACATTTGAGTATATGGATGTGAAATCTGAACCATCACACTCCTTGCAATGGCACTGACCAACCTTTGCCGTGAGGCCAGAGCCTGCGGCAACCATGCAACCATTTATGCAGCGAACAATCAAAGATATGCAAATACTTGGACGACACTATAATACAATACACACATACTAAATTTTGGTATGGGTATATCAAAAAGTATGTATACACACACAGGCATGTATGTATAAATACCCAGAAATGACATACGTTTGAACACATACGAACATGGGTCACAGTACACTCATTCATAAGTATCGCAAAACTAGCATACACTGCGCTGGTTCTGCTCCAACTCCTCCACGAGGTGCTGATGCTTGTCGTACATCTCGTCTCGTTTCGACGCATTCAGTTTGACTGTCAACTCATCAATGCGCTCCGTTACGGCCTGCTGCTCTTTTTTCTGTGAGTTTTAACATTGAACACGTGAAAAATTCACTTGAGAACAAAAATCATGTACGAACCCACAAGATATTGAAAGTTTCACCCAGTGTACATACATTTAAATTGTAGCTGTACACGCAAAAAACACTCGGAAGCCATAAGTACACATCAGAGTATCATTATTAACCTCACACAGTATAATCCGAGACATTTACCTCGTTTCGTAGTCGTAAAATGGCCGCGATGTCCTTACTTGTATACAGCTTTGTACGACAGTTTTTAATCTTTATACACACACTTATGTATCTGTACACTAGTAAAATAGCACTCCATATGTGTATGTCAAAGTGCCATGAAAAACCTCAACAACTTAAAAAGTCGCTTACCTCTTTACGCAGTCGTAGGTTCGCCTCGATGTCCTTCTTATATATCGCTTGGTTCGACAGAGATTCACGGGCCTTCGCCAGCTTAGTAGATAGCTCCTCTAGTAGAGCTGAGTGTTTCTCGACCTTGGATTGCAGCTATCAAATAGAAGTCAAGCATATCTGTACTTAACAAATAATTTATATATATATATATATATATATAGATATTATACACACACACACACACACACACACACACACACACACACACACACTACTACTAACACCACACCACAATAATATATACT